TAATTCTTCAAAAGGAATTGACTCTACTCGCATTTGCATGCTTTCAAACCGCTAGGTTGGCGGGAGAATATCTTGATGCACAGTATGTTTTGTGTTGAAGTCAGACAGGGCAGAAGGAATAGGAATGCAGAATTTTCAAGTAGAGAAAATTATCCTGATTTTCACTTTTGTATTTCCATTACTTGTCAGGTGCCCCACCCCCATTCATTCATTCATTCATTCATTCATTCATTCATTCATTCATTCCAGAACACTGCATAATCCAGTTAGACTGTCCTTGACCAGAAGTGGGCTATTTCGGTAACTTTATTTAGGCCATTTGCTAGATCTTGTTTTGTACCCATGGTGGGACCTAAATTATACGCAGAGAAATGCTGTATAGGAACTGGCTGGAAAGCTCAGTGAGTTAGGTATATGGCTCAGGAGCCAGAGGTCAGTAGTTCGATACCCCTCAGGGCCTCCTGTGTAGTCATGATAAGTAAGCTACACAGGCTTAGGATGCTCCAGAAGGATTGAATGGTAAATTTCTAAGTATTCTCTACTTAAAAAAAAAAAAACCTAAAGTGTTGCCATAAACCAGAAAAGACTCAATGGTACTTTTGTTGTTGTTTAGTCGTTGAGTCGTGTCCTACTCTTCATGACCCCCATGGACCAGAGCCCTCCGGTCTTCCATTGCCTCTCGTAGTTGGGTCAAATTCATGTTGGTCACTTCGATGACACTGTCCAGCCATCTCGTCCTCTGTCGTCCCCTTCTCCTCCTGCCTTCACACTTTCCTGACATCAGGGTCTTTTCCAGGGAGTCTTCTCTTCTCATGAGATGGCCAAAGTATTGGAGCCTCTGCCTCAGGATCTGTCCTTCCAGTGAGCACTCAGGGTTGATTTCCTTCAGAGCGGGTAGGTTTGTTCTCCTTGCAGTCCAGGGACTCTCAAGAGTCTCCTCCAGCACCACAATTCAAAAGCATCAATTCTTTGGTGGTCACCTTTCTTTATGGTCCAGCTCTCACTTCTATACATTGCTACTGGAAAAACCATAGCTTTGATGATGCAGACCCTTGTCGGCAAGGTGATGTCTCTGCTTTTTAAGATGCTGTCAAGATTTGTCATCGCTTTCCTCCCAAGAAGCAGGCGTCTCTTAATTTCGTGGCTGCTGTCACCATCTGCAGTGATCATGGAGACCAAGAAGGTAAAATCTGTCACTGCCTCCATATCTTCCCCTTCTATTTCCCATGAGGTGATGGGACCAGTGGCCATGATCTGTTTTTTTGATGTTGAGTTTCAAACCGTTTTTTGCGCTCTCCTCTTTCACTCTCATTACAAGGTTCTTTAATTCCTCCTCACTTTCTGCCATCAGAATGGTATCATCTGCATATCGGAGGTTGTTGATATTTCTTCCGGCAATCTTAATTCCAGTTTGGGATTTCTCCAGTCCAGCCTTTTGCATGAAGTATTCTGTATATAAGTTAAATAAGCAGGGGAAATGCAAGCCTCTTCCCTTGTTTCCATGTGTGGGTACCCATGGGTAGGAAAGGTTTTAGAACTACACCGTAGATCTGTGAGTCCTCAGAAAAGAATGGAGCCATTTCCAACATCCAACGTTTCTCAAAAACGAGCCATGCAAGAATATTTTTTTCTAATTTTTTTAATATATAGAATTAAAAGCTTTGTAGATTGGGGGGATGCTATGGATGTGAGCAATAAGATCCCATCTGATTTTCTTGTGGCTAAGCTTCATTCATTCATTCATTCATTCATTCCAGAACACTGCATAATCCTGTTAGACTGTCCTTGACCAGAAGTGGGCTACTCCGCTAACTTTATTGCAAAAATGCAAGTAGATAAATAGGTAACAGCATGGTGAGAAGGTCATGGTGTTCCGTGTCTAGTCGCGCTGGCCACGTGACCATGGAAACTGTCTATGGAAAACGCTGGCCCTACTTGCTAGATCTTGTTTTGTACACATGGTGGGACCTAAATTATACACAGAGAAATGCTGTATAGGAGCTGGCTGGAAAGCTCAGTGAGTTTTGTATATGGCTCAGGGGAACCTTTACCTTTACCTAAGCTTCTATAATGTGGCCTATATTTTCTGTCTGTTAGGTGGCTTCGTGGGTGAATAAGGGACCAAACTCAAAGCATCATCTTAGAGAATGGAGTTTGGAAGCAATTATTTATATCTATAAATAGTGACTTTTGGCAACGAATTGTGTAATTTACTATAGCGTAGGTCTACAGAACTTTCCTTTCGGGCAACGTCATAATCCGAACTCTGAGAATTAACATTTTATTTAAAAAAAATACTTTAAACTGATCCAAGAGTCCTCACAATTATATAAAAAAAATCTCCCAATGGGTAGCATAAAGTCCCCTATTATAATATAAAAGAAATCTCCCAATAGGATGCAGCTGGATGTCCTAAAAAGGACAGATGTTTCTGTCCAGTTATAATTTTCTTTGTCGGCTCGGATGCATGTCGATTGATTAGATAAATCATATGCTTGCACTCTGAGTTCGTTGTTTCCACCGTGCTACGCTTTCCGAGACAGACAAGAGGACACATCAAGATTCTTGGACTTCTTTAACTCTCTTGTATTGTTATGGGACGGTTTATCTCCCCAGAAGTGTCATCTGAAGCTCTGAACCATTTTTCTACATTTTGGCCACCTCTTGCCAGAGAGACTTTTTACTAAACAAGGAATAAAATCTATCTTTGCCACTGGGGTACCGATTCCTCCCCAAGCCTGGGGTAACATTTATATGGGACCAAAAAGAGAGAGAATTATGCGTTGCGGGAAGAGAATCGTGATCCATTTGGAGGGGGAAAAACTGAAATTTTTCTATTGGCGGAACACTGGAAATGGTAAAAGGTCAAGACGAAAGAAGTGTACATTCTATTTTATTTTATCTTAATTCAATTTACAATTATTCTACAGTACTAGGTGTTTTCTGAGGTCTTTTTTTCATTGCCACACACCCTTGATTCTGCACGCACAAAAATTCCTTTAGAATATAAGACATTTGGATATCATGGGAATACTCGTGTCAGAAGATACTGTACCCCGTAATTTAAAAAGGTAAGCCTCTGACGAAGATTAAACTGGCGTTGGGCTGAATATGATGGCCTCTGAACAAACAGTAATCTCTTCTGGTGATGGGAGTCCAAAATGCATGTTTTGGGAGTATACTTACTTGGCAAAATAAAATAAAATAAAATAATAATGATGATGATGCACAAAAATTATTAGGAAGCCCAGAGCCCTTCGTGAGGTATGGATGCTACAAACAGTAAGCAGGAGGAAAATGACATAGGGTTGACAGCCAAGCTGTGTTGTCTACTTGCTTATAAAGAAGCTGGAACCTCAGCTTTGCAAATACACGGCACCTCCTTTGAAACCGAAAGCTGTCACTTTCTAGTACGAGGCTCGCAGAGAAAGAGAACGGAGGGTCTTCAAGTCATGCCTCTATTGTACGATGCAGGGTGAAGGAGATTTTAGATGTTGGGTTAGAATTGTCCTCCATACATTAAAAGAAATAGTTCAGTGGTGCCTCGCAAGACGAATTTAATTCGTTCCGCAGTTAATGTTGTCTTGCAAAAAATTTGTCTTGCGAAACGTGTTTTCCCATAGGAGTGCATTGAAATCTAATTAATGTGTTCCTATGGGCAAAAAAGTCAGAACAAAGTCAAATTTGTCTTGTGAGTCATCAACCCCCATTGCCAAAACCATTTGTCTTGCGGGTTTTTTGTCCTGTGAGGCATTTGTCTTGCGAGGCACCACTGTAGTCCTCGTTTGGCTGGTAAGAAGTTGAAGGGGTGCTAGTGAGATCTCAGCCAGCTTCTGTATTTTAACTCCTCGGTTTTTGTGGTCGGTCTCTGTTAGCACAACAGATGGGTTGAATTTTAAAAGTTTACATTCTCTGACACGATGTACTTGGGGACCGATTTTTTTAAAAAAAATCATCTTTAACCATACTGTTGCAACATTAGTTCCATCAAGGTTTGCTACTTTTCACTGGCATCAATTGCCATGTGATTATTGTTGTTGTTGTTGTTGTTGATGATGTAGTAGTTGTTAGAACTTCTAATTCTCCTTCCTTCGAAATGTGAGCCACAGCAAACACCAGAATCCTCTTGGTTTATGGGATTGCGTAGGGGTGATCCTGGGAGCATACATAATCTTGCACTTGTTCCTGTGAAGAGCGGCCGACAAGGTGGAGAAAACTCTTGCGCAATCGCTCTTACCCAGACCATTTTTCTTCAATTCGATTTTGGTTAAAATAGCATACTTTTCATTACAAAATTGACCTACGCGCACACGATTCCATTTACCGCTGCCCGAAATATTAAATTAAAACATCCAGAAATACGAGTTTCCAAAATGTATTATCAGAACTGGCCACTAGAGGGAACCAGAGATGATGCTGTACATATATATACAGCATCATCTCTGGTTCCCTCTAGTGGCCAGTTCTGATAACACATTTTGGAAACTTGTATTTCTGGATGTCTATATAAAAACAAATTTTAAAGTTTGAAGTAATCAACTGTAAAGGCTTCGTGGTATTGGATTCAGGAGAGCAGAATTCAAATCCCCACTTAGTCATGATATTTACCGGTGGACTTCAGCCCGTCAAAGTTCTCAGCCTAAGCCACTTTACAGGGGTTGTCAACTCCTTGCAGAAATGTAAACAAAAAAAGTAAGAATTAAATCAGGAGGGACTCCCCGACCCCAGACAGCACATCGGTCAACAAAAGGAATACCACTGTGGTTCAATTTCTGGAGGACGATGACAGGAAAAGGAATTCACCCGTTGAGTAGAAATGCAATTCCATTCTTAAGGCAAAAAAACCTTTACTGCTTGAATATAAAAAGAGCTTGTCCAGTGTCATTTCTTTCTTTCTGGTCACGCCTCCCTCTTTGAATTCCTTTATTCGAGTGCTAATAAACCTGGCATGCCCCCATCGGCTCATTGGGGAATCTCGAGAACGTGGTCCAGTTAGGAATTTATACTACCAATCCTTCTCTGCTCATGCTCGAAACCATCGCGGGAACACCTCCGTGGGGTCTAGGGTAGCGTTTCTGCCCTTGGGCTGCACCCGGTTCGGATTCAAACAAGTCCCTTCTCCCAGGATCGGATTTGGTGGGTAACGGATCCGAAGCCATCAGGGCTCTGGATTTTGTCTGGGCGTAGGAAGGCAAGCCGGGGTTGACGTGAACGTTGGCTTTGGTGACGACCGGTGGAGGAGGATCATTTCTATGGATCTTGTTCCCCTTGCGGCTGGAATCCACAACAGAGATGAGATCTGCCTCTTGGCCTGGGGAGGTCATCTCGGTGCCTTCTTGCTCCTTGGGAATCTCGTACTTCTGACGCTGCAGAAAGCTAATATTGTGGGGCAGGTAGCCCAACACCGAGCGCAGACTGCTCTGTCGGCTTCTCTCTTTCATCCGTGGGGGCACCGTATCAACCCTGGGAAGGAGAAGAGAAAGCTTGAGCGTTGTCGTTCGTTTGTCGACACTTTTAATTGTTTTTAATACAGTGGTGCCTCGCTAGATAGTTACCCCGCATGGCAGTTTCTTCACTAGACATTGACTGTTTGCGATTGCTATAGTGATTCGCAAAACAGTGATTCCTATGGGGGAATTTCGCTGGACAATGTTTGGTCCCTGCTTCGCAAACCGATTTTCACTAGACGACGATTTTGACAGCTCCCTCCGCGCTCGCAAAATGGGTGTTTTCGGGACCTAAGCTTCGCAAGACTGCGCTTTAAACAGCTGATCAGCGGTTCGCAAAGCGGCTTTCCTATGGCCAATCTTCGCTAGACGACGACAACTCTTCCCCATTGGAACGCATTAAACAGATTTCAATGCATTCCAATGGGGAAATGCTTTTCGCTAGACGATTATTTCGCTAAACAGTGATTTCAGTGGAACGGATTGTCTAGCAAGGCACCACTGTATAGGCCACCTTGCATAAAAAATCTTTACCTTCAAAAGAGCTTCCCAGGGGGCTGGCCGGAGACCTCTGAGACCTCCCTCCCGTTTTGCTCCCACCAAGACCGGCCGGCCAGAAAAACTCAGAAGCAGGACAGAAGAGCCGTTTCCTACTTGTTTGGGGAAGCAACGTGGATTTCGATCAGAGGTTTGAAAAGTTCCTTTTTTGTAGCTACAACTCCGCCGCCACGAGCCACGATAACCACTTTTTGGCTGAGAGATACTGAGAGGTGTCGTGCAAAAATAAGTTTTTCGAACTTATCCAGGATACATAACACTTCTAATTCCGGCTCCAAAAATGGCTGGTAGTGGCTTAAAGCGAAAAGCCACAATATCACTGAATTAGCGTAATATCTGACACGCTGTTAAAACTGATTTTCAGTCTAGGGGCTCAACGACACATCGTAATGTTCCCGTTTTTGCATTTTAAAAGATCTGCCTACATGACAAACAGTGAAGTGCACTTGCTTTTGGTCAGCAAGCCAGCTTTTAAAAATACCCACGAGGGGTTGTGAACACGAATTATTTTGAATTGCTTTGGTCTTTGTGAAGACCTGTGTTGGAATAAATTCTGTCTATGGGGGTTGTCACGTATTGGATGATACGACCACAGGTTTGGGGCTGTAGAGTACCCAGCGGTCTGAACTATTATATCTATTTTTTCTATCTGTAACATCGATCTAGCGTTATGCCACTTTGGAAAAAAAAAGACGAGAACGAGGCAGGGAAGTCGGCGAGTCTGCCAGCAAGCAATGTCGGGAAACATTTCCTCAGCAACCTGGACTAGAGGGTGAAGCCAAGATGGATGTTATGGCAAGTGGCGTTTCCCTGGCACAAACTATGAGCCGTAGAGCTGGCCCAAAACTGCCGTTGCTGCTTCCTCCCCCACCCCCTGGCAATGTCATCCTGTAGCCCATCCAGGTTGTTGTGTTGTGTTGTGTGTGTGTTTTGGAGGGGGGTGGTTGTCTTTCTCTTGAAGAGGGGTTGCATTCTTTCCCTGACATGATCCCAGTTGTCCAACCCACTCCTGCTCCCCCTCGTTTCTTCTAAGGAAGCTGAGTGCCCGCTCGTATAAATGCAAGCATTTTAAAGCCCTGGACCCATAGACCATACCACTTACTACTGGAATACAAGTTGTCTCAAGAGGACGCGCCTGCCGACACGAAATCGTGTGACTTTGATACAAACCGATTTCAAAAAGCCCGATCCAACTCCGAATTCATTTCAACCCTGTAGCCGCACCCTAAGTTCAGAATTCTCACTCCGTGACACAGACACACACACACACACCCTGCTCTCGGTTTCTCCCCTCCTTTTACCTGATCTGGCTGGCTTCCTCCTTGCACCGCTTCTTCCTGCAGCAGTAAACGAGCCCCACAACAAGACACAGAAGGAGGAGCAGGAACAGCAGAGAACCGAGGACTGCTCCCACAATAATACTGGCTGGGCTGGAATCTGCACGAGAAGAGAGAGAGAGAGTGCGCTCGGGAAACCGAGCAAAAGATAAGAGTGTTAGAGAAGTACTCAATGGCTTGTATTCAACACCCAGCAGGTTACATTTCATGATTTTAATTGTACTTCCAAAAATAAGAAGGCGTTATCACATAAGTACAAAAGGACTCTTATATCTGCAAATCCATATCTGCTGATTCAGTTATCCACATTCTGAAAATATTAAAAGAAACCCCTTTAATTCTAACCATCAACTGGCCACCTGAGGGAGCCAGAGACCATGCTATGTATACTAGTTGCTGTTATAATAAGGTTCACTGTAATCCTCATTATGCTTTTGAATTGTGGTGCTGGAGGAGGCTCTTGAGAGTCCCCTGGACTGCAAGGAGAACAAACCTATCTGTTCTGAAGGAAATCAACCCTGAGTGCTCACTGGAAGGACAGATCCTGAAGCTGAGGCTCCAATTCTTTGGCCATCGCATGAGAAGAGAAGACTCCCTGGAAAAGACCCTGATGTTGGGAAAGTGTGAAGGCAAGAGGAGAAGGGGACAACAGAGGATGATTAGATGGTTGGACAGGGTCACCGAAGCGACCAACATGAATTTGACCCAACTCCGGGAGGCCGTGGAAGACAGGAGGGCCCGGCGTGCTCTGGTCCATGGGGTCACGAAGAGTCAGACATGTCTTAACAACTAAACAAAAGCAACAATCCTCATTATTCAGCATCCACAAGGTCAGGGGGCTTGGGACCAATATCCCACAGATATGGGGGTCTTACTGTAATCTCAAGCCGAGAAGCCTTTCTATTTCCTTATGTTTTAATTTCTTTGTTTATACTGCCCATTTGACCCATGTTCATGCTGGGCAATTTGCAGACAATAAGTTACTAACACACCAAGTTACATCCACGGGTGTGAATCTTAGCGCTTCCAGAAGTTTGGGGTTACCGTTATTATAATCCCTTAGAATTGCTCGCCCTGGCTGGGGTATCTGTGGGGCAAATGCCAAAGAGTTTCCCACCCAAATTTATTAGTGCCGATGACCTCTTATCTGCTGTCTCTTACAGAAAAGAAAAACAGAGTATGCTTCTGTACGAAAACAATGCTAGAAAAAAATATGACTTAAAATTTATAGTGGCCACTTATGAGTGACAGACTGAAGACAGCAAAATAGATTCCATCTTGATATTTAGACATTTCGCCGAATTTTCATATTCTGAAGATCGGAGAGGGAGGTTAACACCCAGAACCTCTGATCAGATACTGAGGGGCGATGATATTGGCCATTTATCCTACAACTTACATTGGTTTGGGCACAAGGTTAATTCAAATTGAAAGCTGGTCGACTACATGACGTCAACGCCTTGTGGGGGGAAAACAATGTGAAGTCCACTCTTTTGAGTGGGAATGGTCTTTTATTGCTTAAGCTGCCAGGGAAGCTTTAAATTTGTTCCAGTTGGTCTGACATCGCTTCTGCCCAATTTCTATCCTGTGTTATCACCTGAACCAATGCCAAGCAACATTTGTAGTGGCGTCAGTTGCCCTCAGATTAATTCCACCCCTTTCTAAACAGTTTTTTTAAAGTTTCAACTGAGCACTGGAACACAGTATCACTAGGGCATGTAGATCTATTTTATTTTTAAACAGAGAGGTGGAAATTGCCAATTAGCACCTTGTTGGCACCTTGAGGCAGTTTTCAAGGTTACGCAGGAATTTGAACCCAGGTCTTATGAATCCTAGTCCAACTCCATCCACTAAAACCACATTGACTCTCAGCAAACTTTCAATGTTGATTCACACTTACATTAAGATAATCTATCAAAATTCCCTGTTTTGGTGTCAAGTCATACTTGGTTCTAGACAACCTAAAGAAATTTAAGCAAATGTGCCTGGTTGGTTTTATTCTGCATTTTGGATTCAACACATTTGCTACTTTGCTTATTCTATGCCATTTTTAAAAAATTTATAGAAAGATGCAGAATGCTAAAGTCCCACGTTTTGACAATTCGATAACTCGTTCGATATCTCGGGCTTTGCAGATCCTACATGTCATTGTCTTTAAAAAATCCACGTGTTACTTTTCTTTTGCAAATACTAAAAGCGTTAGTTTAAAAGCCTGGTTAAGGTAGCAGTCCCATGCCCTTTACTGAGATTTATCTGAGCATCTTTTTTGCTGAGATAAATCAAGGGCACAGGATGCCCGGACGACGTTCAATTGTTAAAATGAAATAGAATCCAGAAGATGTTCTTACCCTCTGAAAGAGAGATCTCCAACATGCACCGGGCAGATCCAACTTTGTTAGCCACACTGCACTGGTAGACACCAAGATCTTCTTGGGACAGTTTCCGAATGACCAGGTCGCCGGGATGAGGACCTTCAGAGCAGAGAGAGGCAGTAAGAGTGAAGAAAGATCATTCACATTAGATTGATCTGTTGCCGTTGCTTTCAGAGAAACAAGATAAGGTTCGTGCAAGCTTTGTGCACGGTTAAGATCAGCTTTGCTTTTCGCACCAGTGGCAGATTCCAGTTATCCTTGGAATCTCAGAACCTTAACATTTGGCCTGCCGTGTTGTCTGGGTGTCCTCTTCTAACTGCAGCGTCTACTCCCTTTGCAATGCACCTCTCCACTGGAGATGGGCGCGAACTGTGATTCGGTGATTCAGCCCAGTTCGGTGGAGTCCTCGCCCGGTCAAGGTGCTTTCCCCTCCCTTGCTTCCTCTGTGTGATTGGCCCGCTCCCCATCAGCCGTGTGCTTCCCTCCGTTGAGCGGGCCAATCCCACAGAGGCAGGGGAAGGAAGCATGCGCCACCTGCACCACTTCTGGGTGGGCGCCACGCCAAACGGTGGCTCATTCTGCTCTCCACTACCCATCTCTGTAGCAAACTCCAGGCCCCCTCGTGATGCATTGATCTTCGTCTTGTCTTCTTTCTTACCTTTCACTGCGTTCGGGGAAAACCAGTTTCCATGTCCTGGTGAGTGATCTGCTATTTTGGCCCATCGATAATCGAGTTGCGGAGTGCCAGCTCTAGAGATGCAAGAAAGAGTGACTTCGCGGCCCAGGGCTTTATTGCCTGCGATGGAGCAGCGAGGGACAGACGGCCTCTCTGATTGAAGAAAGAAAAGATGATTTCAGTTAAGAATGCTCAACAAAAGAGACTGGCCATTTGAACTGATTTTTGTTCAGGCTTTTGAAAAACCCAGTTTCAAGTCATGTGGTATTTAATCAAGGGCCATTGTTTGCATGCACCGGATGGGAATCGATTGACTTCTGGGGATTAAAACCGGTAATGGCATCTACGCTGCTGAAATAACCACATTTCCTTTCTGTTTTAGAAGCACACTGTTCTCAAAGACTTTGATTTTTTTTCAAAAATTGAAGTGATGCATCAATAAACGGAGTGATTTATTATTATCGTGACTATTACGACCTGGTGTCATAATATTCACTATATTCACTATGAATGATGAAAAAATAAGAAAGGAGTGGGGGAGGCTTCCAGCTCCTTCATAGAGTGATGCCCCTGGTGCACGGATCATCCTCTGTATCCAGATCCACCCACTGGCCTTCTTCTGCTCTGCTGGCTCTTTCATTGGCTGAATGGAGAGAACGGGTAGGTAGCTGTAATGCTGAACACATTGATGGAGTGATGCAGTAATAAGCCATTTTAATAATAAAAAAATTAAAAGGAGAAACAGCCAGCCCAAATCCACAGAGGCACAAATTAAAATGAACAGCAGTGTTCGCAGGCATAAAAACCCCATTGAATTGAATCGATTTTGAAAGCGAGGTATTGTTTAAAAGGCCCCTATGTGGCCGGTTGCAAAACAGAACGGCTCGGCAGACCTTATAAATCAATGTCACCCTTGCATTGTGTGAAGGATAAAATCTAAATCAATTTGAATGACGCTGAAAGGTGGTTCTTATTCCCAGTGTGACCACCACCAGGACAGGTGAGTGGAGACTGGTGGAACAACAAGAAAAATGAGAGTTTCTGGAACGGAACGGTGCTGCAGAGAACAGAGACTTTGGTGGCGGTGGTTTGCTTGCCGTTGTGCCTATTGCCCCCGGAAGGTCGCTCCAAGACCAAGATCACAGAGAGATCCTCAGGAGAACATTCATCACCCATAAGCAAAAGTCCCTTCCATAGCATCAGGACTCACCTAGCACCATGACAATCACTTTGCGGGTGGCCACAGTTGTTTTCTTCACCTTACACTCGTAAGTTGCAGAATCCGAAATCTGGACATTCTGCAGGCTGAGGGAGGCATCAGACTGGCTCGGATCCGGGAGGGCGAAGTTCACCCGTTGCAGCAGGCCGGAGCAGCAATCGCCCGCGGAGGCGAGCCGTTGAGAGCCCGAGTTCTTTTCAAAGTTGGGGTTCTCCAAACGCCATGCTTCCTGGATTCCAGATCCCCCTCTCTGGTAGTCAGGGCGAGTCACTCGCTGGTCATGATAGCTAAGGATCTAGTGGACAGGAACCAGCAAATCACAGGGCTGAATGGACAAAGATTTCTGCTTGGGTGATGTGACTGTAGTGGATTCTGATCGGAGCATTATGTCATTGATGGATCTCCCACCCCCCACCACATCCCAGATCATGGAAATGATATTTTTAAAATGGCAATTTCAGGAATCTTCCAGACAGCTTGAGAATTGGCTATCTTGTATTTGTCTGTGTATAAGACGCCCCCATGTATAAAACCAAACTTTTCTAATCCAAAATTAAGAAATCTAAGTGGGGCTTAGCAAGTGTAGGGGGAAAGGGATCAAAGCGCTGCAGGATCGCTCTGATCCCTGCTTTCCCCTCCACTTGTTTTTGTTCTCTCCTCAGCTTACTTCCGTGTATAAGACAACCCTCAATTTTTTAGCCTGAAGATTCAAAAGTATAGTCTTATACACAGAAAAATATGGTACGTCATCCCAAAATTGACTTTTACAAGTACTATAACACTCCTTCCAAAAAAATAATAATCTGCTATGTTAACTCAAACCTTGTTTCCATTTTTTATTCTGCAGAGGTTTTGTCTAGGAAGGTTAAACTGCAATGACTTATCTCGTTCCAGATTTCTCAACTTCATCCCCGGTTCTTTCCTAAGTTCTTATTATTACAATTCCCAGCAAACTTCCAGCCAGTGAATTTGAATATGGGAGGAACTTAAACAGGAACAATTACCCCACTAAGATTGGTCCATCAAGGCTGTGGGTCTTAAAAGTCTAGTTTCGAAACCCTTTGTTTTTAAACTTGTTACTTCCGGTCAAGCCTGCCCCTTCTTTTCATTTTTAGCAACTACCCAGCAGGCTTGTTGTCTTCATATGGAGAGTGCCTGCACTTAATGCAGATGTAGGCAGGGGAAGATTTTGTTTAGATTTGTTTTTAAAGAATTTACTATGATCTAAAAACGCCTTCATATCTGGAATGCCCAGAACATCTCAGGTCTAACAAACGGGAATTTGGGAATAAACGAAATAGATTTCATCACCCTTACTTAAGAAATAAAAGAAGTCTTGGAATATAAAAACGTATGACATGAATCGTTGGCAAGCGCCATTCACGCACCACGTGATCCAGGTTAGTAGGGTCAGAATTCAGCTGTGTCCATTCAATATCCAGGCCGTTTGGACCATGATCCTGTGGTTCTAACTCATAAGGGCACCTGAGCTTGACCGAGTCACCTTTGGCTAGGTAGAGAACCTCCCGTCCTTTGGCATTTATCCTTACCGCAGATAAGAGAGCTGGCGAATAAAACGAAAACACAAGAATCTTAAATATGAAAGCACAAAAACACAACACTTTTAAATACGAATGTACACTCTACATACGGTCTCCCCATGGAGGATGCTTGAATATAAAATGTCAAGTACAGTCAATACTTCTTAGAAAAAGTTTGGCACAAGCCCCAAGTCCCCACAAATGAATGCAGCGATGGGAAACCTAAGAGTCGTAGCTCCATCAAATTATTTTCTAATATCTGTCACAGTAGCACTTCCTCACTTTAAAAGTGTTTGCTTTTCTGTTACTAATAGAGTGGTTCTTAGTTATTTTTTAAAATCCCCCGACATGTAAACATGACCAAGCCTTCCCCACTAAAATACCTTTTCTCAAAATAATGCTTTGGGAGTACAAAATAAGCATTCTTCGTCTCTCCCCACCCCGAAGTGACTATGACTCCTCAACTAGAGTTGTAACTCTCAACGGCTGACCCTAAAACAATCCTCTGATGCTTTTAGGTGTCATAGTCCTTTTGTGGAGGATGGTTTGTTGGTGGTGCTTGTTTTGCATAGCCTTTCACCCTCTTTTCTCTCCTCTCCAAGACCAGACTAGTTTCAATTAAGATTTGTAGTTTAGTCGTTAAGTCGTGTCCAACTCATTGTGACCCCATGGACGAGAGCATACCAGGCCCTCCTGTCTTCCACGGCCTCCTGGAGTTTGGTCAGATTCATGTTGGTCACTTCGTTGACCCTGTCCATCCATCTCGTCCTCTGTCGTCCCCTTCTCCTCCTCTTGCCTTCACCCTTTCCCAACATCAGGGTCTTTTCCAGGGAGTCTTCTCTTCTCATGAGGTGGCCAAAGGATTGGAGCCTCGGCTTCAGGATCTGTCCTTCCAGTGAACTCTCAGGGTTGATTTCCTTCAGAACGGATAGGTTTGTTCTCCTTGCAGTCCAGGGACTCTCAAGAGTCTCCTCCAGCACCACAATTCAAAAGCATCCATTCTTCGGTGGTCAGCCTTCTTTATAGTCCAGCTCTCACTTCCATATGGTTGTTGTGGGTTTTTCGGGCTCTTTGGCCGTGTTCTGAAGGTTGTTCTTCCTAACGTTTCACCAGTCTCTGTGGCCCGGCCCCTTCAGAGGACAGCACTCTGTGCTCTCCCTTCCATAGATCGTTGCTGGAAAAACCATCGCTTTGACGATGCAGACTTTTGTCAGCAAGGTGATGTCTCTGCTTTTTAAGATGCTCAATTAAGATACATCATGTTAAACTGAGCTATACCAGAAGCCCCCACCCCATTTCTGATATCGCTTAACTTAACAAGTTTCCACAATTTCACACAAAGCATACTTCATAACAACACATGTTTGCAGCCAGGAAGACTAGAAATATTTATTTCCAGTTGAGCTGCTCTGTTAATTTATAAAGTCGTCCCAAAATATGTCCGGGGTGTATGTGTGTTTGGAGACCCATAACAATACCAACCATTCGCCTTCACCACCCTTTAAATTTTATCTTAATGAGTTCGTCCTCAGTTCCTGGAGTCCTTACCTGGCATTAGAAATGAAAGGAAAAGCTGCAGGACCCCGCACATCTCAGATATCCTTCTAAGATGCATTTTGGCCCTTTGGTACAGAGCAGTTGTTTCGGAAGAGCTGGATAAGGTCTCCGGTTAAGTGAACTTTGAATAGAAAATCTGCGGAGCTTCTGTGCTTTTTATGTGACAGGCTCGTCCCCTCCCTGTTCTGCAGACACCGTGGAAGTGGATGGGGAGGTCAAGAGGCAACACCCGAAAGATGAATTGGCCAAGACTCCACCTGGTTTGCTACTTACTCATGTCCTTAGTTGTCAAGAGACGGCGGTGTGTCTTTTCCCAGCAGGGCCTGATCACACGAGGCAAATGTGTTCCCCACTTCTGACAATACTTTCCGTACCTCCGTTGTACTGAATAGCGCTCACTTGGTATATATCTCTGAACGAGCATCCCTATTCGTTTTAATGTTCCCGATTCATTTCTTCCTGTTATGTGGAACCGGTTTGTTTTCTGTCTTGTCTCCCAGGGCGGTGTAGCCCCTTATTTTATTTTCCCTGGTGGGATTGATGTTCGTACATACAGAAGTGATAGAACAAAGAAATGTCTAGACTCTAGATTGTTGACACTGCAATTCTAGGGGATGGCAGAGTTGAAAATAAAGAATTGGAAAAACAAACAAAGTGTAGAGACCTGGCCGTTGAAACATCTCGCCTCCGGACACTTCAGTGGTCCCCGTAGTCATTGGGGCTTTGGGAACAATATCAAGAAATTTCACACAGTATTATAAGCCGTTCCAGATCTCAGAAATAACACCCATCAGGAACAGCATACATACTGTGCCGATATTTGACAGATACTTAGGTTTTTGGTTAAAACTTGTACCTGTTCTACAATACCAGTCAATGTTTTTATAAGTTTGGTTGACTGTGCCTGGTGTTTTTATTTGTCAATGATAACCCCCTTAGAACGGCAGAGATGGATGGGACCCCCATGGATCATCTAGTCCAGCCCCTGTCAAAGAAGCCCAGTGGGGGAATTGAACTCCCATCTTCTCGCTCCACAACCAGAGACCTAAACCACTGAGCTATGGAGACACGAGGGCGTACTTCAATAAAGCTTTAAATGTGTTGTTGCATGTGCCTGTTGCTCTTTTAAAGGAAAACAAAAGTCACAGGAAACCTAAATAGAAATATGATGGAGTTCATGCATGTTTTTGGAAGGGCTTCCTTCCGACGCTCGGGATCCTTTAAAACCAGATCAAACATTTGCTTTTTTTGGAAGGGCTTCCTTCCGACGCTCGGAAACCAGATCGAACATTTGCTGGTTCCCTTCTGGAAAGGACATTTCCCACCAGGATTGAGATGGATAAGGAGAAAGGCAGTTTTGATGAGATGCAATCAAGGATTAAGCTTGCTTGCCCCTTCGTTTGCTTTTGAATTGACCTTGCAATGCCCCCCCTTTTAATGACGGCATGATTGCAAGATAGATGGTGTGAAGTGGAACTTCCCTACCTGGTGCACAGGGGATATGACGCTCCTTCATGTCAGGAAACGAATGCCCGAACCTGTTCTACCGTCTGCCGTTATTCTTCTTCTTTGTCATGGGCAACTCCCTCGGAGGATCTGATGCGAGTTGACGTGTGACAGGAAACGGAGTACATACGGCGCAGTATGAGACAAAATACCTAGGCAGTCTCTTCGGGTGTCACGTGTGGGTCCTTGTTTGCGAAGCTTTTGATGCTTCCAGGCAGAACGTGCTTGCAGCTGTCATTTGCTTCTGCAATGTGTAACACTTTGAAAGGACCTTGCGATGCATTTGAACAGGAAATTTATAGAATCGCAGAATAATGGGAGTTGGAAGGGGCCTAATAAGGCCATCAAGTCCAACCCACCTGGTCAAGGCAGGAATCCGAATCAAAGCAGATCCGACAGAGGGTGGTCCAATTTTTTTTTTCTTGAATGGCTCCAGCATTCGAGCGCCCGCCACCGACCAAGGTCACTGGTTCCATTGTCGTACTGCGTGAACAGTTAGGAAGTTTTTCCTGCTCTTCAGCCTAAATCAGGCTTCCTGTACCTTGAGGCTATTGCTAAATGTCCTGCTGGCAGGGATGATCAAGAACAGATCCTTTCCTCTCCTCCGTATGGCTACCTTTCAAGTATTTGAAAAGTGCTCTCCTATCACCCCTCAGTCTTCTTTTCTCAAGGCTAAACATGCCCAATTATTTCAGTCTTTCCTCCTAGGACTTGGTTTTCCAGCCCCCCCGATCATCCTTGTCACCCTCCTCTGAATTTGCTCTGAACAAATCTGCACATTTGACAAGCATTCCCTGCACTCCTTCATCCAGGTCATTAATAAAAATGTTGAAGAGCACCAGGATTGAGCCCTCGGAGTTAGAGAAGGATCTGTTAATCATCATCCTCTGAGTTCCAATTCTGTATCCCACCTGAAACTTGATCTATCCAGCCCACACCTAGTTAGCTTGCTAATCAGGAGATCATGGGGCACTTTGTCAAAAAGCTTTGTTGAAGTCAAGATATACTATGTCTACAGCATCCCCTCCGTCTCTCAGGGAGGTGACCCGATTTTTAAAATGAGATCAAATTAGTTAAGCAGGATTTGTTCTTGACAAATCCGTGTTGGCTTCTAGTTATTAGTGCCTTGTTTTCAAGTTCATAGTCCGTCTTATGGGAAAAGATGGAACTGAAATAGGAATTGAGCCCCTCTGCCTTTTCTTTGTTCTTTATTCTCATTTTTCCATCTCGATTGGCTTGTCTTTTGCTATTCACTTACCTGAAGAATGCTTTTTATTGCTTTTAGCGTCCCTAGCTAACCTCAGCTCATTCTCAGCTATTGCCCTCCTAATGCCATCCCTGCATTTCCTTGCTAGTCTGTACTCATCCTTGGTGACCTGGCCTTCTTTCCACTTCCTGTACAGTGGTGCCCCGCAAGACGATGTTAATTAGTTCCATTGAAATCACTGTTTTGCGAAAACATCGTCTTGCGAAAAACGTTTCCCCATTGGAATGTATTGAAATCCATTTAATGCGTTCCAATGGGGGAAAATCATCATATTCCAGCGAAAATCACCCATAGGGAAGCCATTTTGCGAAGCGCCAATCGTCCAGCAAAATCCCCCATAGGAAAAACCGCTTTGCGAATCACTATAGCAACTGCAAAAAGTCATTGTCCTTCAGATCACCCATTTTGCAGGGTAATCGTTTAGCAGGGCCCCACTGTACATGTCTTTTTTAGGTTTTAGGTCCTCCCTAAACTTTTTGTGAAGCCATACTGGCTTTTTAGCCGACTCCCCCCCTTTTTTTTTCTTGTTGGAATTGTTTGTAGTTGTGCCTTTAGAATTTCTTCTTTCAGAAGCTCCCACCCTTCTTGGGCTCCTTTTCTTGTTAGTCTGCCCTGCCATGGGACCTTAACTCATCCATGTTCTGAGAATATTAAAACTGGCTTTTAAAAATCTGGCAGGAGTGTGCAGCTACACTGGATTATCATAACATTTTGATGTGTTTTAATTTTACCTATATTTCATACACATCCCTAATATCTGGAAGGTTGTATATTCCCCCTGATAGAGGCAACTCTGTAATAGCAATGTTTTCACTATGTATATAAAACAAAAATATATTGCTTATATGTATATAAGCAATCTATTTTTGTTTTATATACAGAGTGTATATATGTATATAAGCAATCTGTTGGGATCACTATATAGTGGTGCCTCGCTTAACGAGTGCCTCACTCAACGATGAATTCACATAACGATGGCCTTTGCTGGAAATTTTGCCGCCTCACCCAACGATGTTTCTTATGGGGGATTTTCGCATAACGATGTTTGGGACCTTGCTTCACTTAACAATGACAGTTTTAGGTCCCCTGTTTCGCTTAATGTTTTTTTTTTTTGACAGCCCTATTTTCGCTATTTTAAAAATATTCTAAAATGTTTAAAAAATGTTTAAAATGCTTGGAATCGTTAGTGCACCTAATAAAACCTTCGTTAAAGTAATTTGGCTTCGTTCTGAGTCTTTTTGAATTTTTGGTGATTTTTTTCACCATTGAAATGTATTGAATAGGCTCCTATTGGAACGGGTTAACCGGTTTTCAAAGCGTTCCTATGGGAAATGGTGTTTCGCTTAACAATGTTTTCACATAACGATGTTTTGAATGGAATCAATTAACATCGCTATGCGAGGCACCACTGTATATGGAAAGGAGCGTAGCACTAAACTCCTCCACCCCAGTACAACAATTAACCTGAATTTGGAGAGGAGGAAAAGGTGTGGGAACTTGTGGGGAGAGGTATAAACTGAGATACAATGAACATCATTTGGATGTTGAGGGAAATTTTCGATAAGCCGGGATGGGGACTTGAGTGGCAGGACCCGCTGCCACGTTGGACTTAAGACGCACCAGTGACTCGACTCAAGAGTATTTTTGCCCCCCAATGATTTGGACTTGACTTATGACTTGGAGCCCATCCACCCTTTCCTTTGCCACCCCCCCTTGGGGAAAAATACTTGTTTTTAAAAGGGATTCAGGTACCAAACAGTCAGAATCTATACTCAGACCCAAAGATTGGCCAACATTCCCTGCTGATAAGACCAATACAGTAGAACCTGCCGTCTTTAAGGATGAAAAGATGATGCCTCTAGAAAACTCCTCAGGAAAAAAATGTGTCCTCTTACCTCAAGCAATACAAGTTGGAAAAATAAGATAATCACAACCCATAACTGATAAGAACCGTATTTATTTTCCAGCACCCTCTTGTCTGTAGCACTGCCAAGCCAGGACAGAAAAGCTGAAGTCCCACAGCATCGGCTAATATAGGGGGAAATGTACATTGCTCTTTCGTGTGAGGTAAGAGGTACATGATTACCACAAGACATCTTTCAACTGGACAAAGGGGGTCGTCTTTTTACATCCTACTAGCTGATGGGGGGAGAGGAGGCTGATCCCTTGGGGGCCCGTTCTTCTGTCTGCCCCACAAATTCAGGTTTTCGTTTCTCCTGCCTGGATAGGAGGACGTTCAGGGAATCCTGCATGTCTTCGAGGAGAGACAGCTGAGCCTGTGCAATCTGCGTTTGGGTCTGGATGTTGTTGTGCATGCACTCGAGGAGACCCAGGCATTCCTGTGGCTGATGTTCAGGTGCTGGAGAAAGAAGAAAAGGGGAAAACATGGCTAGTCAAAGATCACTTCTAACTAGTAACCATTGGGTTTACTTTCTCTTGCTAGAAATCATCAGCATTGGACAAATTCGAGAGAAATGTAGAGAATCACTTTACAAATATCCTTTGATTTGTATTCCCATATTGGGGGGGGGGGCAGGATTGGACTTGATGGCCTTATAACCCCTTCCAACTCAATTATTCTATAATAGGGCACACACAGACATCTTCCAAACAATCCCTACTCATGCTGAAAAATGCAGATTATAGATAACACTATAAAAGCAGGGGACACTGTATGTACATAGCATGGTCTCTGGCTATCTCTAGTGGCCAGTTCTGGGTGCATCAATCTTAGAAATATATATTTCTAGGATTTTTCTTTTAATATTTTAAATATTTTCAGACTGGGTAAGTGAATCGGTGAATAATGATCCCACAGATAAGGTGAACGTTGCGTTCAAATGTACACATTTTCATCTGTAATGTATATGCACCCTCTAAGAAAAGGTTGCAGCTCTTTTAAGACCAGATGGCGACATTTTTCTCAACCCACTGCATTTTCTTTCACATCCTGATTCTGAACAGGCCTGTGATTAAAGCATAGATTGTAGCACTACAGATGTTTTGCATGTAAAAAAAAAATAAATCTCAGGTTCAAAACTCATCCTACTACAGATGTTTTGCATGTAAAAAAAAAAATCTCAGGTTCAAAACAAATCCCGCTAAAAGGCAGAAAACAGCAATGGCTTCCTACAACCACCGACGATGGTAAAGGAAGGAAGTTCAAATTACAATGGAATATTAAGGAGACAAAAATATTGACTACAAAAGAACGATGCAACTTTAACGTCGCCAACTAACAGTGGTCAATATTATATTTCAGAGGGACACCTGTAATCAAAAGTATCTTGACAGGATATAAGAACAATCATCACCTAATTTAGTCGTGAGCCACTGTGTCCCCTGCCAATGTGGACGACTAGGATGGCCACTTGCCCCCTTATGGGAGTCCTTCATTTGAAGGGCTGCTTGAACCCCCTCTTCCTTGCAAGGGTGTCCTTTGTGGGAAAGGTGGTCTAATCCAGATGTGACTTAAAGAGGAAGAAGCAGAAGGAGAGGGGATCAAGGACTCTGAATTTGCCAGTCCCCTGTTAGCAGTACCAACACAGCAGAGCAGCAAAGCATACACAAGACTGGTTTCTATCATCCCCGCTTGAATGAGATGAATTGCAATACTTCTAAAAGTAGATTCTAATTTTGCATCTACAACCATGAATTAGCATAGGTCGTTTCATGCAAATCAGTATCCTCCTTTGTCTTCTTGTTTTTGTCTGGCCTCCCTCTGTAGCCAGCAGTCCTATTTCATGGCAGCAGAGGGCCGCAGATGATGGTCCCACATCCTAAATGTATCCGAGACAGTGCAGTACAACTGCTGGTCCCTCGCTATTCCGAAGAAACTGTTGTCTTCACAAATCGATCAACAGCTGAACTGCCTTCTTTGACCAGCATGACCTAGCTGTGACATGATGGGATCTGTAGCCCACACAGATCGTCATAAACAGTATTTGTTCACATTTTAGCTTTCCAGATGTGACACGCACACCCCCGCATCATAGGGCAGTGAATTCAGGGTGAGTGTATATCTGGTTTTAGTCCAAACTTTAAAGGAGCTATTCAAGAGGATGAGCCTAATTTTGGAGATGAGATGCAGCATCCTTAGTAGCTTCTGTAAAGTTTGGACTAAAACTCAGAGTGGATTTGTTGCCCCGAGGACATCAGAGTCATCAGCTTCCACCAGTTTGCAGACTCAGGCAATTCAACATGGAGATCGTGCATCACATCCGACAGATGCTCTGCATGATACAAACATATATCTCTTTACTGGAGGTCTGTTTGCAACCTCACTTCTGTCTGTAGCTTTTCTGGGAGGGACTTTTCAGGCTGGGGCAATTGTCTATCCATCATCAACCAACTGTTCCTTCTAGCTTTCAGTTTGAAAAGAGTCTTTCCTCTCTGCTGAGAGTTCTTTGAGTAAAGAAAGCAGCCTGCGCAAGTCTGTAATTACAGGTAACTGTAAGTAAAGATTTCTTTTTTTAAATTCTTTCTCCTACAAATGTCTCAGAGCGACTTATCGGAACTTTAAGTGCTAGTGAATGAGAAAGGGATGGCTATCTGGGGAACGTGCCGCTGTTCTCCTCTGTAGTGCTACTGTATAGCAAAAAAAGAGGAATTTTACCAGAAACTCAGCAACACTCCAAGTGTGGACTTACCCCATTTCATGGGTAGCGGATAGGCTGGCCAGCGCCGAGCCACAACTTTGGGAAGACCAACTAATACATGCATACGCATGCAAAGTGTGACTTACAGAAATGCCTCTTTCCTTTCCCTCTCCTGGCTGCCTGGGAATACGGCCCACCTGGGCAAGGCCTCCACTGAGTGGATGGGAGTTCCAAAAAACTGGGGGAGGGTTTTGCCGGGCACAGCGGCTTAAAAGAAGAGGGAGCGGGGACTTCACTTTCTTCCCCTGTGGAAAGAATGAGAGACAAATGAAAGGCGCACGGCGATATTTTTTTCACCGATGCCTATGCTTTACGTGGGGACATTTTTGATGGCCAGGGCCCTCCCGGATCCCTCCCTCTACGAACTATCACGACCCCCCCACCCAAAAAAAACCCCGTTTTTCGGATGGCCAGGGCCCTCCCGGATCCCTCCCTCCATGAACTATCACGACCCCCCCAACCCCCCCCTGTTTTTCGGGATCATGCCGGGGTCAGCTGAGTGGCGGGCACACGGGCACCGGCCACAGGTCCAGCTTCCATGCCAGCCGCCTTTCAGGATGGCAGCGGAGGTGGTAGAGGTGGTTTCGAATCAAGGTAAGGAAGGGGCCAGGGGTGGGCATCCCGTTTGACCAAAACAAAATCAAGTGCCAAGGGGGGGGGAAGGTTCAGTACTTGGTTTTGTTTCAGCAAAATGGGATCTCCGAACTGAACCACAAAACCAGCCCAGTTTGGTGTCCCCCCCCCCCGGTTCATGGTTCATTTCATGCCCATCTCTACTGAAGTACAGTACAAAGCAATAACACTGTCCTCACTGGAGAGTAAGTTCAGAGATTAAATGCTAGGGTGGTGTGATAGGTTAGAAATGCCTGCTTCCCGGTTCATGCAGAATGTTATTTCAGCTGGTTAAAAAGTAAAGGTTCCCCTTGACATTTAGTCTAGTTGTGTCCGACTCTAGGGCACGGTGCTCATCCCCGTCTCCAAGCCAGCGTTTTTTCCGTAGACAGTTTCCATGGTCATGTGGCCAGCGTGACTAGACACGGAACGCCGTTACCTTCCCACCGTAGTGGTAACCTATTTATCTACTCGCATTTACGTTCTTTCGAACTGCTAGGTTGGCAGGAGCTGGGACAAGCGACGGGAGCTCCCTCCGTCGAGTGGATTCGATCTTACGACAGCTGGTTGTCCAACCTTGCAGCACAGAGGCTTCTGCGGTTTAACCGGCAGCGCCACCACGTCCCTTTCAGCTGGTTAGTCGTGATCTAAAAAACGGATGACTTTACCCAAGTCATCAGTAGCCGTTTCTATACAGTCCCTATAAATCACACTTGATTTGCAGAGCAAGTTAAACAGAGTGGGATCCTCTCATCCTCCCACACAACTTTTGGCTTGCCATTCCAACCAGCCGTACATAGGCTGGCTAGTGGGAGTGAAAGGGTTGTGAGCGTTATAATTTGAAGGAAATGATAGGTCAAAGGGTTCCTACCCCTGGAATAAAGAATCTCATATCAACAGATTCATAGGTAACACATTTTAGGGCATTCATATGAAAGGTATCTCCTGTGGCATGAAAATGACCCATGAATCTGATGATTTCAGACACAAACAAAAATACACAAAAATGCTGTGCGTACCTTAAAGTCTTAACGGCGATATTTCAGTTTCATCTTTTGTGGGTGAAATCCACATCTTCAGATCTAAGAGTGAGACTACAGTATATGATGGTCACTCTTACCTCTGACGATGTGGACGCGACCCACAAAAGATCACATTGAAATAGGCAACAGGGCAGGGATCCCAAGCAAAACAGCAAATCTACAACACAAGGGCTGAAAAAAGAAAAGAATCAAGGTGTTGCAACAGCCCAGTTGAAGTCTAGACCTCAACTCAATCGAAATGAAATTAAAAGAATTGTGCATAAACAAATGCCTGGAAACCTCAATGAACGGATGCAACCTCATAAAGAAGAGTGGGCCAAAATTCTTTGTATTGTAAGTTTGCATTTAGCCAGTTTTCAGACCTGCTAAAAACCAGATCATTTTTATTATGACCTGATACATAGAATTCAAAGGGGGTACACTTGCTTATGCACATGACTGTATTTAGCACATGAAATGCAGAAATACTTGGGTGATCACATTTATTTTCCTTTTAGAAAAGGTGGCCTTGCTGATTCATGCACACGAAACAGCTTTTAAAGCCACCGCTGCCGTAGCTGGTATGAAACGGCTCGTGAAAGCAAAAGATCTTATTACAGGTGGCAAAACAGCTAAATAAGGATAATAAGGATAAAAATACCTACGTGGGACTTGTGAGGACCTTCTTTGGGTACCTGAAACATATAAGATGGCAATTCTGATTAATATTAAGGAGCGGTTGGGTGGAGTGGATGGTTTGCCACGCTCCGACTACGGCCAGGCGCACGAGAATACAGCAGTCAGAATATTTACCAAATCCAATTGAAAGAGCAACTCAGCTGCCTTAGTAAGAGTGGGATCATGTTAATTTTATTTATTTATTTATTGATTTGATTTTATACCCCGCCCATCTAGACCGAAGTCTACTCCGGGCGGCTAATAATAAAAAATGGAAGAACAATATAATAAAGTAAAAAACAACACCAATAGCAATGTGGCACAAGATGCTTTCTAGTGGCATTTTTTTTGTTTTTCCTTTTTCTTTTCTTTTTACCCTTGGAGGCCATGAGTTGCCTAGCTCTGACTTAATAACGGTTAGCTCACGTTAGCTTGTGGCCTCGACTTATGAACGGCTCGACATACGAAAGTTTCGACTTACAAACCACTCTCATAGGAATATATGGACTCAACTTACGAACTTAGATTCGAGTTACGAACTCTTTTTTTTCTTTTTTTTAAAGCTAAGTTATCTTAGGTTAAAAGGAAAAAAAATATCCCCCTCTAGTGGCAGAAGGCAGAATAGCAGCTTCCCATTAGTTTCTATGGACGAAAAGAGCAGACACGGATTAAATGGTTTTCAATGCATTCCTATGGGAAATGCAGATTCGATTTAAGAACTTTTCAACCTGAGAACTGCCTTCCAATACGGATTAAGTTTGTAAGTCGAGACCCCACTGTATGTGGGAGGGAAATTGTCAGATGGGGCATCCAACATACTTCTCCGATGCTGTTTCTCATCTTCTGGATTGACATCTGGCTCCATCTGAACAGGGCCGGGACAGATTCCTAGCAAAAGGAGAGAGAAAAGCAATGATTCATCCATGGGGAGATTTTAGGAGCATCCTTCGAGGGGCGGGGTGGGATTGAAAAAAAAAAAAATAAAAATCTAAGCTGAGAAAGGAACTCCCCTTGGATAAACACCGGAGGGAGAGATTTATGTTTCTTATTTAGGGCCAAGCAGATCTTCCGCTGTCTTTCTGGATTCATATTGCTGTGGTTAGGAATAAATGAAAGATTAGAGCAGATTTTTCCCCTCGTGTATAAGGTTGTCCAGGTGGATGGGGGCCCCCAAAAACGAACGTGGCCAGATGGCTTTCGTGTGTCCCCGTGTTCGTGGGGAAAAGAGTTTGGTGATCCCCCCCAGATCCCTTTGGAAAAGTTTGGTGATCCCCAGATCCCTGGGGGGGGGTGAGCTGCTACTGTTGCCCTTCATGGTTTTCAGCTTTTTTATATCTCACCTCACCAAAAGACCTGCTGTATTTTAATGTGAGCCTTCATAAACAAGCAGTGGGTCTTTTAGGGAATTTAGGGTGGAAATGCATTGCCTGTGGCAGAGTGCTTGACCTGTCCCAGGTCACATTTTCATAGAACCTATCAGGCAGACAAAGCTATCATTCCAGTTTGCATCACCAGTACCAATTTATATGTCAGTTTTCTATGTGCCGAAGATGGTTTATGAGAAGAAAGACACAAAAACAAAAATACACAAGAACAAAACATTGCAATCATGTATTATTTGTTTATTTATTTTATTTATGTATTTGATTTATATCCCGCCCATCTGGTAAATTTATACCACTCTGAGCGGATGAACAGGGCTACCTCTTCTGAAGGCTTTATTTATTTATTATTATTTTATTACAATATTTTTGAAGGAAATGGAGGCCAAGCACTCCCCACACGACCTAAAAAGCTCAATATTATCAATACTTTCCGACTCCCTGCCGTTGCCAACGCGGTAACTATGTTTGGGAAAAACACAATAAACTATATATTAATTCAAATAGGATTCAAATATGGCGGGCCTTCCATTTTATTAACCAGCG